CCGTTGGCAGTCTCAGACATTATAACGCCCCCACGGCTGAAAGGGCGAGCATGTTTGGTGGGATTCAATTAGGAATATTGTTTCGATGCAAAACATACCTAATTTCCATGAGCATTACGTTCAAAACCATAAAAAATACTTAAATTAAGTAATATATGTATATCTGAATCATATTTTCAGAATTAATTCATATTCTGGGAGAACAGTAATACATAAAACTACACTATTCATAAAAATTAAAGGTTTGTTTTTTTAATTTCGCGCAAAGCTAAACGAGGGATATCTGCGCTACCCGTCCCTAATTTAACAGTGTAAGACTAGAGGGAAGGCAGCTAATCATCACCACCCACCGCCAACTCTTGGGCTACTCTTTTACCAACGAATAGTGGGATTGACCGTCACATTATAACGACTCCACGGATGAAAGGGCAAGCGTGTCTGGTGTGACGGGGATTCGAACCCGCGACCCGCAGATTGCGAGTTGAGCGCCCTAACCACCTGGCCATGCGGGGCCGACAGGTTTGTCTAAATTTATACGTTTTTAGGTTATCATTTTTTTTCAACTTTGGTATGCATATTGTAGAGGATTATATTAATCCTCCCTAGGGTTTGCAAGTTTATGCACCTATGACTGTTTAGGTAATAAGCCTTCATGAGAAATACCACAAATTCTGCAAAAAAAGGCTAGTTTTGATTGATTAGGAAAGGTGTTTAGAGTTGATACAATGTTTAGTTTATGGATCTTTTGCTGGTTTTGACTTTTTCAAAGTTTGTGCAAGCTGTTAGAAACCAATTGACTGAAACTGTTTGTTTATAATTAAGCACAAAGATACACAATGGCTATATGTGCTCTGCCCCTACGGGTATCGAAATCAGAATTTTAGCGTTGTAAGTCCGCAGACATACCGCTGTGCCACTGGGGACAACTGAAACCAAGGCTTACACTGCTTCAGGAAGGCTGCACCCAGGCTGAAGTGGAATAGATAATGAGAGTGTGAAGATCTGTGGTCAGTAGATTATGGTACAGATTCCACGCTACAGAAGAATACACCAGGAAGTTATTTCAGTATCACAGATGTGCTACCAATGCAGTAGATGGCCGATATCTGCGAAATGTAGCCCTTAGAAAACTGCTTAAGCAGCGCTGAGGGCCTCAGGAACGAGTTTCAGCAAGTCACTGGAGTGCGTGTATCATTGATCAAGCGTCAGGCTCTATGAGGTTGGCTCATATCCAGAATATTACTTAGAACCCCTATACAACCCCAAGGCACCGAACAGCTCGGCTGACGTTTGGCCAGGAGCATGTTACCTGGACCCTTCAGCAATGGGCCCTGTATTGTTCACAGGTGAGAGCAGGTTCTGTGTTTAATGTGTGAGGGTCTGGAGACGTGAAAAAGGCATGTAACATCGTCAACCATGATGCGTTTGGGGTGGCTCGATCATGGTCTGGAGTGACATCTGCATGCAGGGGCATACCGACCTCCATGTAGTGAATGGAAAATCACTGACATCAAGACGTTACGTTACGCGGATCAGATCCTGCTACCCACTGTAATCTTTTTGCTGACATCACACTGACACGATCACGAAGCAATTTTTTTTGATCAGGATAAGGGACTAGCGGTACTAGACTGGTTTACTAAGTAACCGCACCTAAATCCCATTGAGTATGTACGGAACTTGCTATGGAAAGCAGTTAGAGTCAGAATTTTCTCCTACAGCTATCCAGGGTCTCAGAGCTGCCCCTATACAGGAGGTAACTGTGCTGTCAGCAAGTCATCAGCAGTACGGGGAACAGATACAGAGAAGTCATATGCAATAGTTCTGGACCTACCAGCTACTAATGACTTGTTTTGTTAAGTTTGTTCCTCTTAATAAGCTATTCTTTCTTTGATATTTATGTAGCAATTTTTGTAAATGAATTTTTTTACTTGCTTGGTATTGTTTACCTGTGATATTTGTAATAAACAAGTTTCAATATTGAACATCTTTCTGTGTTTTTATTTCTTCAAAATTAAAAAAAAACATATCAAAACATCACTATCATTTAACTTTTATGTATATATATACAAACGACTTATTACTTCACTAAAATCATTAGAAGTAAAGTATACATTCTCCATGGAAGTCTCAGTGTTATGGGTTTAATTAGCTGAATATTCTAATAATATATTCTTTTTTGTTTACATTTTTACTTAACTATCACAATTTTTCACTTCATCCCTCATTACAACCCCTACTAATGACTCCAACTTTCTAATTTGTTATTCAAATAATGATTTGTCCCAACAAAAAAAAAACACTGAAATCCTGCAAGCGTTGTTATGTTTCAAGATAGGCATGTAAAGGAGACAGAGATCATGAACTATACATGCTTACAGAAAGCATAATGACCCAGATGCTTCTTATAAAAATAGCCATCTACATTTATAATGCTGTGAGTAAGGTAAGGTACTAAGATACTTCACCAGAACTCATCAGATACTAGACTACTTCGTAAAAGTTTGGTTAAAGTTTTGGAGTTACTTACATTTCGTGCATCAGAAAATACGTTTTCGTCGTGATCCTGACAGACAGACATATCGGAGGTCGAAGCCTGTTCTTCTACATCCCCGAAAGTCTGTTATAATGAGGAAAGACAAGAGAACTTGAAACTAATTGATCTGCTTTTAGCATCTAGGTGATTCAACTTCTCGATTAACTTTAGCTCGTGCGAAACTATCAGACGAGCACGTTTTTTGTGTTGTAGCTTGTCATCAACTTGCGCGCGTTGCATGAGCTTATGAGCGCGAGTTTCACGCGATCGTGAATATCATTTATGTCGTGACTAGCTGATTCTCAGTGATTCTCTTTTATCATTTAGCCCCAAAACTAACGCCCTTTGAAAGCGATGAGTTCACGGTGTTTTCAAGGATCGCTGCTACTCATAAGAACAGTGAGAAGAATAAACCTCTCGTGTATATGTTAGCACAACGTAACCACCCAACACTACTAGCCTATTGATCTAGAATCTGCTAACCACTAGAAATAGGAAAAGAGCGTCGCAATGGATGCCGGGAAATTGGTAGTACCTAAATGTAGATACGGCATGAATTTCTATGTAGTTAAGGATGCCAAATATTTACAGAGTTAGTAGAGGGAAGGCATGACGTTTCGTCTAAGGACTAAATTAAGACGCAGTAGATGTACAGAGTAATTATTCGCACTTTACCACAAGCCTTAACCATTTTTTTTCTCTCTCTCTCTCTCTCTCAAGTTGCCCGTTCCTTAATAAACTTGAAGTTGTTTGAACCGCGTTTTCTACAACAACATTGAGGACTTAAACATAAACTTGTTTTTACATCATTCATTACCAGTGGAGTCCAATACTGTATCATGTTTGTTTGGTTTGTTCTGTATCATGTATCAAAGCTACACAGTAGGTTGCATACGCTCTGTCTACTATGTGGAATCGAGCCCTGAATTTTAGCGTTGTAAGTCCTTAAACTTGTCGCTGACCCAATGGGTAGGATCATGTAGAGCACTTTGATGATTTTGCCTACTACAGCCCTCTTTATAAATATCTGGCAAAAAAACTAGGTGTAATCACTCACTTCCTAGGTTATATACATAGGGAACCCCCAGCTGATATTAATTACAACAATAGCGATAGTTTTAAACAAGGTTTGTGCAAATAATTTTTTTTTTTTTTGCAGAGTCCAATAAGTAATTTGTTCCTTAAACATACATATATAGCTTAGGAAACATTATTAATAAAGCCGACCCTAACAGGATTGAACCCAAAATGTTCTAGTGTGTTTTTGATAACTTGTTTACACCTGGATTTTACAAAATAAACAAGCAAATAGTTACATAAACAAACGAATGGTTTAGGATTCACTGTCTAACAAATGTCACACAATGAGTGTACCTAAACGTTGATTCAATAAAAAAAAAGAATAAGATAATTAAGATAGGCCAACTGTTGTCAGCTTATCGCATACCATTAAAAAATGGAGTTGAGAGCACAACTAGTAAGCTCTATAATCTAAACGTTTGGTATATGTAAATTATGTATACTATTCACAGACGAAACACCTTTGGGACCACAAATAAACATTAAAGAGTCGTTATATCTACTCTTAGTTTAGCACCAAACAATTATTCTTAATACAAACGTTACGTATCCAAATGTACGGAATCGTTCTTATTTTCCTTTACTCTTTGAGCACCTAAATATACAATTATGGAAAGCTGTAGCTGTTTGTTAACACTTCTTAGCCAGTATGATACGGTGCTTATACTGAAAGTTTCACATGACAGGATATCTACCTTATATTTTATGATAAGGTGCAAAGTAGTTTTTAAAAAGAGATTTATTTACGTATAAGTGTGAAGTACATATAAAGTTCAATTAACTAATCAGTAGTTACTATACAGTTTATTTTATAAAGTTCAATTAACTAATCAGTAGTTTGATTACTTAATTGAACTTTATAAAATAAACTGGATAGTGTAGATACTATCCAGTTTATTTTATAAAGTTCAATTAAGTAATCAGTAGATACTATCCAGTTTATTTTATAAAGTTATATTAAGTAATCAGTAGATACTATACAGTTTATTTTATAAAGTTATATTAAGTAATCAGTAGATACTATACAGTTTATTTTATAAAGTTCAACTATGTAATCAGTAGATACTATCCAGTTTATTTTTAAAACTTCGGTGAATATATCTTTTTCACCGTAACATATTCATCATCGAAGTCTCGCAATAACACGTGCAGTTTTACCTGTTTATAAATATACATATCTAAGAAAGATGTATCATGAAAAGGAACGAGCCCCCTCCTCTCCTTTTAAGAAAATCCTGGTGACACTCGTGATAATACACGAGCTTGTGTAATACTGGGATGTAATAATTCCGTAAAACCCGAAGTTCTAAATTATGAATAGATATGTAAATTTGTGGAACCAGTGTAGAACTGCAATTAAAATTTTTTTCTTCTTCTTATTTTTCGAAAGGAAGGCATGCATTTTAAATTAATGTTAACCATATACACTTATAAGCAATCGTGTGGTTAAACCTAAAGTTAGATTGATAGAAAAATGCGTTTACCTGATAAGTTTAAACACTTTATATTTTAGCTTTAAAATATGCTACTGCTGAAAAAAAATCAAATTTGGAAAACGTTAATTTCTCATAACAAAGAAAGAATAGATATTGTTCGTGTTCAGATATTCTTAGTTAGAAAAGGTGTTTTAGATTAAAAGTGAAATTTCATTGTATATGAGAAAGGAACAAAATTGTCTTTACTATTACACGAGGGCCTGGAATGGTCAGGTGGTTAGGGTACTCGACTCTCAATCTGCGGGTCGCGGGTTCGAATTCCCATCAGCGAACATGCTCGCCCTTTCAATCGTGGAGGCGTTATAATGTGACGGTCAATCCCACTATTCGTTCGTAAAAAAGTACTCCAAGAGTTGACTAGCTGTCTTCCATTTAGTCTACCGCTGCTAAATTATGGACGGCTAGTGCAGATAACGCTTGAATAGCTTTGCGCGAAATTCCAAAACAAACAAAGTATTACATGTAAAGTAGTAGTAGTAGAGCCTTAAAAAAAAACAACAACTGACAAAATAATCGATTAAAAGTCACTCTTGCTATATTGTATTTAGAATTAAAGATACGTTCTACAGCTATCGGTCTTCTAAAACACGAACTTGAAAAACGAAGCTGTAACAAAAATTCTCCTTCGTGGGGAACTATTGAGTTACATAACCAGGGGTAGCGACAGTCTCTTCCCGGTGAGAGGGCAAAGGAGGGCTGAATAAGAAACTGAGGAGGCAGCACTTTACATCTTGTGAGCACACATACTGTAGTATTTAGGAAGTGAACCAGATTTACCAGTAAGCATCGTTCACTGAGTCAGAAGTTATCTGTGAGGCTAAGATACATTTTGGGATAGCTTTAGTTCCAGTAAGCCCCCTCCTTATTGCCGCCCGTGCACATAATATAGCCTAATATAACCAGAAAATTATGAGTAATTATCGTTATGGATCTCATGGTTGGTGCCATAATTATAGATTCTACATTTCAGTCTCATTCTTGAGTTGCAGAAGATTGTAAACATGTTTCCTCAACTTGCGACGGCAGAGAACACCAGTTTTCGCTGGCAGCCCTCTGGTAGCTCAGCAGTGAGCTTGAGAGTTTATAACGCAGAGCAGATAGCTAATTGTGCAACTTACGATCTTTTCCGGCTTAACTTAAGTTCAGAAACGCTGTTTCAGAAATTGGTTCTATTACATCTCTGTTTTGTGTTTAGCTTTAGAATAAGATGTAATCGAGTGAATATTTGTCACACAAATATGTTGGCTTTTCAAAAAAGGGACTTAAGAATTTGTATTGTTGTCATGAAAACTCATAATTCCATGAGAAGTGGGTAGCATGCATCAGCTTTGTTGACTGCTACTTTTAAGAATTATTTTTTATGTTAATCAAAAACCCTAGATATTGAAATCCAGCAAAGAGTTTTATTGGAACTCAGAAAGCCCTAGTTTACCTTGTCGTGTCAACTTGGAGTAACTAGAAGGTTGGTATAATCGAGCACATTTCAAAGAAAGGAAATCCTATTAAATCCAGCATTCTCCAGAACGATCATGAACAACTTTTAATTGTTTTTAGCACAACAGAACAAAGAACATTTCCCACATTGGAAACCAGCTCAGACCACGTCTGTCTCTAGAATACTGCCATGTTAAACCCTACCACAAACCCTCACAAAATATTTATGTCTGTTCAGTCGATGATCGTTCAGATGTTAACATAATTCCTCAAACTAATTATTAAGTGTACTTCATGTGTATATCTTAACATAATTCCTCAAACTAATTATTACGTGTACTTCATGTGTATATGTTAACATAATTCTTTAAACTAATTATTACGTGTACTTCATGTGTATATGTTAACTTCACGAACTTCATATTAAAAGTTTGAAAAATCATTTCGTTGTTCATCAATATGTCCAAAAATTATTTCATATATATTGTTATGTTATCCTCTTTTTTATTCCTATATCTTCAGTTTTATAACTGTTTATGTTGTTCTCTTTTTTATTCCTATATCTTCAGTTTTCATAACTATATGTTATGTTATTCTCTCTTTTTTATTCCTATATCTTCAGTTTTCATAACTGTTTGTTATGTTATTCTCTCTTTTTTATTCCTATATCTTCAGTTTTCATAACTGTTTGTTATGTTATTCTCTCTTTTTTATTCGTATATCTTCTGTTTCATAACTGTTTGTTATGCTATCCTCTCTCTTTTTTATTCGGATATCTTCTGTTTCATAACTGTTTGTTATGCTATCCTCTCTCTTTTTTATTCGGATATCTTCTGTTTCATAACTATTTTTTATTTTATTCTCTCTCTTAACCTCAACTCTACCAAACGACATTTTTTGAAGGGGTAGCACATTAATTCTTCGAGCTACAATTGACCCGATTTGTCAAAGATGGCAAATTTAAAACCCTAGGTGTTCCTATCTAACCTTAAAAGTTATTCTATGTTAAACTTTTTCTGCATTTATTTAAAGGTGTTACCTAGAGCAATAGAAGTTGCTTATTTTAATTTGAAA